ATACATACATACATACATACATACATACATACATACATACATACATACATACATTCATACATATTGTATTGTTGCAGGAATTATTTTTTACATGAAAAACAGAAATGAAAAGGGGCATAATAACTACAATTTCTTACGCTGCAAAGATCCAGGACAAGAGTGCATCAATTAACATAAATTGGAAGGGGAGTGAATTTTCCCCCTCATTTTGGCATGTTTTCAGTTCTAACATGCATGCGAACATAGTTGAGATATCAGTGGTCACTAACCTGGTTGTATGATAGTTATAAAGATCTATTTCTGGAAAGGGGTATGACCTTTATTACCTCTAACACACTTCATATGAAGCTGCCTCTGAAAGATGAATTGGTGCAGAACGTAGCAGCCAGAATGCTTGGAAGCCAAACCCAATTTTGTTGGATAAAATTGATTTCAAAAGTCAATGCATTTATTTGTTGCCAGTAGGCTTCTAAGCCCAGATCAGAATGCCTGGTTGCTACCTCATTTTTATATGGTCTACCTATACATTTAGTTACTTTTTCCTAAGGACTTTTCATTTGTTCCAACATTTGTCCCTATTTCTTAATTATCCAAATCATTTTGAATGATTTTTCTACCTCCTATTGTTTGTGTCATCTTTACATTTGAACACACATTCCATATATCTTTTCATCCAAGCCATTAACATATCGAAGTGTTGAGGGCTCAAGATTGAATCTTGGGGTATCACTTTTGCTTTCTCCACTTTGACAGATTATCTGAGCATTTTAGTTATGACTTTGGAGCCATCCAGCCCATTCTGGAATATCATTAAGTATTTTGCCAAACAATTGGTTGAAATGAAAATATATTATGACCATAAGATTTATTACTGAACAATAGGATTTTAGGGATTTGAACTCTACAGGGATTCAAACAGGTATTTTTCCCTGATCACATCACTCTTAGTTTCACTGAAATTCAAAGCAATCTCTTCATTTTCCTATATTCAGCATTATGGCAGAACACAAACGTCACTAGGAATGAAAATAGGAATTGAATTATTTGTGTTTTAGTATTTTGCTGTCTGTATTGTGCAAGTGGTACACTGCTCTTTTTCTGTTCCTTTAAAGAAAGACTATCTGGAAATAAAACTTCGTTATTCTTAACATCCTTTACCCAGCTAAGATGATTTTAAGTTTTAGTCTTTCTGATACCATATTTGCAATCCAAGCTAACAATATGTGTTCCTTACTGGTGACTTGTTCAATGGTAAGAGGGCCATTTTATATTATTGGCAGACCATCACAAAGATTTGTGCAATGTCACTAGATTTTTGCCAGTTGTTTTCTCTCTTGCTGGAATAACAATTTTAGTGCCTCTTATTTTGGGAAATATCTCACTTCCCATCTTTGATTCATTTTCTTATTTGTTTCTTCTACTATAGGAAATTATTTAACATTAAACATCTGACTCTACATATTAAAACCCACTTTTATGAAGTCCAAAATGTGTATTTGCCTGCACTTTGCTAGTGTGTGTGTGTGTGTGTGTGTGTGCACGTGTGTATAAAGAACTCCTGAATTATGTAGTCACTTTTCCCCCAAGGTTTGTGATCTGTCCTCTTTGCTGATTAAGTCTTTCCTTTTATTTAAGCCCAGTCCATAATTCTTTTGTATCTTTCTTACCTTCTGAATGTGAATATTGCCTCTCCCTGATGTTTTCATACTCATTTGAAAACTCTGCAGTTTGCATTTGAGAAATCTCTCTTGCAATTTCTATTAGTTGGGTGATCAGCAATAGCACCTATCACAATATTGTTTAATAAAAATGATTTAAACAATATTACAAAATTAATTCTTAGATTTCTGAACAGCTGTGTGTCAGCTGTCACTGTGTATATTTTTAAACACTCTGTAGAACTCTTCCCTTTTTATTGCTTATTCTCCTTTAAAACAAATGGTATTTTTCAGATGCTATATTCTAGTCATAGAAGACTCATTCTACCAAATGTCAGTTTATTTACTCTTTTATTAAATGTATATGCTGCCTTTCTTTAGGGGCTCAAAGCAGCTTAAAGTAACCCATGAAGCTGCTTCATCCTCATTTCCTATATTCAGAGTTAAAACTCACTTCATTTTCCATATGAAGAGGATATAATGCCTAAGACATCTAATCTGAAATTGTGTTTTGGATTTTCTGATCTGGATATGGTGAAGTGTTCATTTCTGCTCAGTTATCATCAGGACTTGATTCAATGTGTCAACTGATGATCAAAGCAAAGAAACTACTAGTGGAAATTAATTCTGAGAGATGAGCATATGACACACATAATTAACATAATTTATATGCACATTGAAAAGCCAGTCTGCAGTTAATGTATGCCTTTTACTCACAGCATGATAATATTAACATACAATATCGATACTTATTTCTAATAGGAAACATCTTGTACTGGTTGTCTAAAACAATAACTGGATGTTGCTAGTTAGTGAGAAGATGTAGGGAAAATAGGGCTGGCCTATACTCACTTTTAAAAAATTCTTGCATGTTTAGGTTTCTTTCCTACTATAACCAGAATTAAAGTTGGAAATAATAGAAATTCTCTAACAGTTTTGTATAATGGCCATCTCTTGTTTAACTATCACAAACAATCAGATTTACAATGAAAGAGGATGTTCCTTTGATTTAGGATAGTGCCATAATTGTAGGAAGCTGGCAGGTTAATATTCTCCAAATATATGGGGCAAAACAGTTGCTTTATTTGTATGGATGTCTCTAATTAAGTACTGTATATTACTTTCTTAGTCAATGTGGAACGATGTATTTAATAGATGGTTCTCTGCAACTTGCCAAAGAATTCCCTATCTTCTATGTTTATGTGTTAAACACAAGATTCTAGTTTTTGTACTTTTGCCTCTTACACCAAATTACACGAACCAATTAAATGACAGATCATCCTGTCCTCTAACTATAGTAACATGCAAAAGCTGGAGCTGTCAATTCAGACACACATCATATCCTAATTATCAGCTCCAAATATGGGGGCACAAGGATGCAGCTGAGCATGAATCAGTCGGGCAGCTGGGATTTTGGAAATGTATTGGGGGGGGGGGTGCTAACAGTCATATTGATGTTTGACAGTAGTAGATTGGGTAGTTGCATAGTTCTATGTATGGAATAGCCTAAATAAATAAGACAGAAGCCAAATAATTTAACAATTGTTTTGCACTCCTCTTACTGAAACGTTTAATTACACCACAGTTCTTTCTCTGTTTGGTTAGAAATGAAGAAAACATGAAAAGCTGCAGCAGCTTTGCTCAGATTTGTTCACACCCAGTCTGTTGACCAAGATGGCTGGTGGAAGTGGGAATTGTAGTCCAACTTATTCTGGAGAGTGTCAATTTAAGAAAAGTGGGTTATATTAAAAATGTGGAGTGGCAAGTTGTTGCAGCCTTCTCTTTCTTTGTTAAAGTAATCATGAAATATGTGGGTGAGAACAAAGTGGAACCAAGATTGTCAACCATTTTAATTTCCAGTGCAAAATAAAAAAGGAAAGCATGATAGGCATAATTTTTCTTTGAGCATTGTTGTGTCCACTGGAATAACATGGAACTATCAGAATTTGCCAGTTAAGATGAATGTGTGGAATATCAATGGTGAAATAATTCAATATACGTTTTTTCCCCAAATACCTGTCAGAGTTATTAACTGACTCACGAGCTATGCTTGTTAGAACACCACTCAAAGTGTTTCCACATTTTGCAGTAGAAGTCAATGTGATATTATTTAGGAAGCTATTTGAAGAAAGCAAGTTTCAGTTCACAATGTATCTCTCTCTGCCCCTTTTCCTCCCAGACGAGCCCATCTCCGCCTGTGTCTAGAACGCTTAAAAGTTCTGATACCATTAGGACCTGACTGCACCAGACACACAACCCTTGGGCTGCTTAACAAAGCCAAAGCACACATTAAGGTAAGAGGAACATCAGTTTCCATTTATAATAATGTTTCAGTTACCCCACCAACTATAGTTACAGATAAGATTATCATCTTCCTCAGACGGTTCATCATAGATGATGTGTAGCATTATTTTTCTCAGTAAATTTATATAATTTGTTTGCTCTGTAAGGAAGTAGTATAGAAATGATAGTAATCTGAAGTCTGATATAGAAATCATTAACCTAACATTCAGCATATAGTTGCTTAAATACCATCTTTTAAATGTCTACAAATTATTTAAAATGCCAGAATAGTACAGTTCCACAAAATACGATTAAGAAATGTTAACAGGAATGTATATTGTATCATTGGCACTATAAATTGTCATTGGGCTTCATCGAACAAAGTGTTTTCTGTGAAGTTCAATATTGTTTGTTGAGATAGTTTTTGAATAGATAGACATATCTATGTTTGAATGCCCAAATTATATGGCACAACTATCAAGATAATTCCTAAGTTAAATGTAGTTTTATTTCTCTGTTTCTTTCCTAAATTGTTTTCAGGCATCTGACAAATACGTACCAGGATCTGAAATGTTATGTTTTTCATTGATGTTTTCATGACTTTATGATAGTAAATTAATTTTTTTATATTTTTTAAATACAAAAGATATGATAGCAATATCATTATTTAGAAACTGTTAACCCCAAATATATTGTACAGTACCATTGTGGAACAATAATAAAAGCAAAATGCTAACTATGTGTCTGAAATCATATAAAACAAAGTATGCAAGAGTTCTGTTGTGCCTTAATTGGTAGTTTTGCTGAAAATATTAATTGACTAGCAACCCTGTTGTCTCCCTTTTCTTCAACCGACTAAAGTTACTGTCCTCAGTTTAATTAGAGGGCACAAATTTAGGAAAGGCCATGTTGAAGAAAGAGCGTTCCAGATTTTAAGGTTATACTTACTACTAGTGAAACGTCAAGTAATATAATCTATTCTAAACCACATGGGCCTCATCCAGAGTCAGTTATTCAGAACAGATCATTTTCTGCAAAGCTCCACGTGCCAGTGAGCAGGCCACATACATCAGGAAGATACCATTAATGACCAAGAGTCATTAGTAGCATGTGTTAACTATTCAAATCTACACATTTTCTTTGCATTCCATTTACAATATATGGGAACTGCACTTGGAAAATAAATACAGTACTTAATAACAGACAAAAAAGAAAAATATTTAAAAAGAGCACAGCAGGTGCCCTGGCTACAGTGTTTCTGATCCTTTCCTGATTTTTTTTTTAAAGAGTAGTGCCAGGCTCACAGGGATCAGGATGTGCTTAAACACTTTGTAACAGCTCAAGCTTAGCAGGGAGGGAAACCCTGCTTACTTAAATGGATGGTATTAGCCTGAGATGACTTGGAGTTATGCAACTTGCTGGCCATCAAGAAACCCTGTGCATTGGCCCGGTAAGATTTCCCAGCTGTAATGAAAGGAGTCTGCAGTAGATTACATAAATGACTGGTCAATGGGGAACTGCTTCAAAAAAATAGCTGATAAATTAAGTGGTGAAGGTACATACGCTTCTTTACTTGTGATGCCTTTGCCTGTTAAGTTATCTGAATGGAGCCTAGGCAGTGATGGAAAAGAACTAGCCATGCTCTACTCGATCCTCTCCTCTTAATTACTCTAAGATTGGACTGAGAAACAGATTATTTTCATAGGGAGTAAGGACGCTACTTTTCCTTACTTGCAAGGATGCCATTTAAGGGCATATATCTGACACATAATTACACGGCAACACATTATGTGATATATCGTTCATACATGCCATCTCTGATCCTCCAACTTTGTCAAAACATATTTCCAATTTTCTCTGTAGTCAAAAAGATCACCAGTTACTTCTGACAAAGCTCTCAGAATAAGATCCTCAGAGAATATTAGTAAATGAAATGGGGAAAGTGCTGGGAAAATCCAGACAATGAAAAACAATCTTTTATCATGGCAGAAACTTGAAGAAGCTGACAGGAGAAGCCAGCATCAGCTTGAGAACCTGGAAAGAGAGCAAAGGTTCCTAAAGCGACGATTGGAGCAGTTGCAAAGCCCTCAGGACATCGAGCGAATACGAATGGACAGCACTGGATCAACCATGTCCTCAGATCGCTCTGATTCAGAGCGAGGTCAGTATTTGATCCCTCCATATGTTGATTAAAGACACAAAATGTTCAGTTCTCTTTGTTCTGTACAATTTCTTTGCTTCAACCTATGAGTAACCGTAATTTCATTCAGATTGCAAGATCAGTGCCATGAAGGAGGCATGTCTTGTTTGGAAACATAAGTCGTCTAAATTTTTCATAGGTGCTGAGGAGTCCTTAATATCCTATTAAATTTAGCTGATCTTAAAGTTGTTTAATTTTGCTCTCTGTCTAAAATATATTTGATGTCTTTTGCCTGTTTGGGTTGAATTCATACAAGTACTAGCACCTTACAGGTCTACAATATAGCTACTTAAAATAATTTAGTCTTATGTATAGTATTTCATTAGTATGAAGACTCTGTACCTGATTAAAAGCGTATGTGGTAGACCTGCAATAGACAAACTATCTGACAAAGTAGTTACACTCTGGAACATTATTGCTTGGTTAATTGTCATTTGTACTCATCCCCTCTGTTTATCCCCTCCAAATTTGCCGAAATATAAATTCAATTTCCTTGATAGTTAAAAACAATACAAATGATATTCTAGGAGAGCTTTCAAATTAATATGAAGTAGAAACCTATTTGGATAGTTTATTTTCTTGTGATACTATCATGATTTTTTTTTTGACAGGAAAGGCATAAATGCTAAGACATCACAAGATTATTTGCACATCATCCAGAAACCGCTTTCATTAGAATTATGAGACTGATATAAATACAATTATCTTTAGCTCTACTTAGGTATTCAAATGAAAGAGTGCTTATGGTAAACATTGCACCCATCAAAAGTTATTCATATCAATGGTATATCCTCAAGATGTTCGTGCAAATAGGCAAATGTCTGTAGGAAAAACCTTTATATGTAGATATTGAATTCTGCACTGGCAAAAAATATGGTAATACAGAACTCTTGCCTACATGAACCAAAGTGTTCATAATTCTATAGGCAAAGACTCCCCTACTATGAATACTCTTGAGAGGATTACCTTTGGGGTGAGGAGAGGACTTTTTTACATGTGCAGAGGGTTTTTCCCTTTCTCTTTCTGAATAGGGCTAGAGGCTTCTCTCAACTTAAACATTATATATTGGGATTCTTGCTTTATGACAGTAGGATAATAAAATACCTTGCTTTCAGGCAGTATAGTCAAACTGATATAATAGGAAAGGAGAAGTCAACAATTATGTGAGATGATATCCCTCTTATAATATTTGATTTTAACATTGATTCATTTACACGAGTTTCTCAAACAGACATGTTGCTTCTTCTTAGATGAACGTGCAATTCAGGAATTAAATGCATATTAGTGTTTCCCCTTGAAGTTTTTGTTATCCTTTGAGAGTGTTGAGGCACCATGATTGACAAACCAAAAGAATGTGGGGTGGTTGTTTTTTTACAAGGCATCCATTTGGGCTTACCAGATGCCACTGCATTTTTGCAGATTTTTTTCAAGGCCACCTTAAAAATGTATTTTTTAAAAATCTGCTCAGAAAGGATTTCTAATTACTTTGAGCAACTGATAAACTGATACTTGGGCCTTCTTCTCTCTTAGCTTAAGATACTTCTGGGACTACATAGATCCAGAATACCTGAGAGAGCTAGATGGCACTGCAACAACAGAGGCTAAAGCTTTACTGGAATAGAAAACTCAGTTAATCAAGAGACTTTAGGCATTGAGACAAACAATCTCAATGATCCGTGATTTATAATCTTCTGTTATTTTGCATTACTTCTTCAAATCCTTAATGTGGAACTTTAAAACTTCAAATATGCAAATATGTTTTATTATATGAACAGCATACCTATCTTGGTGTACAGTAATGCTCCTTAGTGTAGACTGAGAAATCTGTTTGGGTGGGTGGGTGAGAGAAATGTCTATTCATGTATAGAATATTGAATTAATATTTATTAATTTAATCCAAGGTACTATGACTAGATATAAATATTGAATTAGCAATCAAATGATAGCTGGCTATTAATATAAATTTGTAAAAATGTGCACAGTGCACTTTTATCTCTTTTGTTTTTCATTTTCTCAAATATTTCATCATACAACTTTACAATAACTCCTCAGGACATGGCTGGAATGAACCTAGATCAGGCCTGTTAAGCTGGCGGTCTGTGGCCCAAATATGGGCCGCACAGGCCACACCCACCCCAGCTCCGTGAAGGCAAAAAAAACATCACAATACATCACGATATGGCCTGCAATGCAAGCGGGTTTGACACTGCTGACCTAGATTCTTGAGGCAGGGATGGTCTTAAATATAAACTTGCTCTGATAGATACTAACTTGAGACTCTTTTTTTTTTTCCAGAAGAAATTGAAGTGGATGTGGAAAGCACAGAGTTCTCCCATGGAGACGTGGATGATATTAGCACAACCAGTACAAGTGACATTGATGATCACAGCAGCTTGCAGAGCATTGGGAGCGATGAGGGTTACTCCAGCGCTAGTGTCAAGCTCTCCTTCACTTCCTAGAGCCTGGTGCTAGAGCAGAGCAACTGGTTTCTTTGGGGCAACTGAGTTTCATATGGCAGGGCTCTTAAGATACAGTATTTTTCTTACCCAACCCACCTTCAACAGCTAAGCTTGGACAGACACAACTTTAGAATAACTCCATGGGTCCATGGAAGAGTGGGGACCTAGCAGGGGAACTAATTAGTCTTTATCTGACCATAATCCAAATGTTTTGACTTAGTGCTAAACTTCAGTTAATTTCAAATCCAGGACACCATTCCAGTTACTTATAGCTGGACTGAGATTTTCCCATCAGCAATGGATACCTATATTGAAAGATGGATTGGATGGGAAACTTGGCTGTTCAGGTGCTTGCTTTTTAATTTGTCACCATTTTTTCCTCCTCATGTTCAAATAAGACCCTTGTGGTGCTAATAATATAAAGTATGTCCAATATCTATGATAATCTAGCATATCTGGAATAGCCGTATGTTTTCCCCAAATTATGGGATAAAGTAGCCAAGGTGATATAGTTCATTGGATGAACCACTTCCAGTGCATTTGCACAATACTTTAAAGTTTTTTTTTAAGCTCCATTTTAAATTTCTTTAAATTCCATCAATGAATTTATTTTTCTTCAATATATCTAAGCAGTTAAATAGTTTTCCTGTATCCTCACCAGCAAAAGTTAGTCCAGTCAGCATCTTTTATTAACTGGGTATCTCCAGCCATCTTTGATCATTATCATCTGAGAAAGGTAATAATAGCAGGATGTTCTGCTTATAGCTTAATGTTTCAGCTGGACCTGTTTTCAAGGCAAGAAACTTGGGTTCTGTATGATTTTACCACTAGATTATTGAGTTGTAGTAGTCCACCACAGGTGCAACCATGCTCTGGATTCAGTGGCTGAGCTAGAATGATTCTCCTGATAACAGGGTGAGAGACAGACCCAGCCTTTAAAACAAGGGATGATGTGCAGAAAAGACACAAGTCTCCATTCTGAGCCAGAGTTACCTATTTATTTCTTTTGCAAATTATTTTGATAAACATTTGTAAAAGTTCTTTGGGTGAGATAATCTATATGTGACAATGTATTTTTAGATCTCCTAGGCATGATCCTGCAAATCTCTTTTATAATTAACACCAGTTGAAAGGGACTTGTTTTCCTGCTGCCATGCACAAGAGGAACAGGGACTCCTTCTTGGGTTTTATGGCTCTACCTTTTGGATTCCTTTTGCAGACTTTGGCACCTGGATTCCTAATATAATCTTGGGTCCATAGCTAAGAAGCATCTCAACTTAACAACCTGCCAGGCTGATTCCAATCTCTCCTGAGCAGAAACTGTTGTTGTTTTGCAGTCAAAGAATAAGATTGTATCCAATGTTTTTATCATTGTTTTTATTTTGAACTTTCTAACCTGCACTTTGAGGTCTTTGCTTTTCTTTAAGCTTTTTAACCACAGATACTTATTACTGTTCCTTTACCAAGTTTAAACTTTATTCTTTATTTTGAGACTTCATTTATGACACTTATTTGAGGATTTTGTTTGGGAGGGGTAGTATGCTGCCTGTCCCCCCAATTACTAAGAGAAAAAAATGAAAAGTAAAAAAAAAATGCTTTATAAACTCATAACTTATTGCTGATTATAATTACTGGTTGTTAATTTCAGTCCTGTAGATCTTTAATTTTATTGTTTAGATAGGACTGGGTGACAAAAAAATAAAACAAAATAACCTCATTTAGCAGTACAGTGGAATTGTGTTTAAATGTTAGCATATGTTTCTGCTTAATAGTAGCACTTTAATACCATTAAACATTTCTGTATCTGAAATACGTTTGTTCTGCCATGTTGGTCACTCATGAGACTTTAGAATACTCATGTTGTTTGTGCCTGGGAAAAAAAACCCTCCATTGGCCATGTAATTAGATACCCCAAATTACTTCTCCAGTAGATCTTGTCTCAGTACTGTTATGTTGTGTGATTTAACTCTAATGTGTTAGGCATTTACCCCAGATCTATTATTATATTGTATAATGTACCACTTTAGGACCTGTGTCATGTATTAGAGACATCATGCTGCCAGGTTTTATAGTGTGTTCATAGCTGGGGTTTTAATTCTTATGTTCATTAAAATCTGGTTGCAGTTACACATCTCTCTCCAATGGAACTAAAACTAAGTAACACCAGTTTATATGGTAACCTCTCCCTCTAGTGGCTGAAATAGAAATTGTTAGTTTTAGTTAATGAGAGTAAAGATTTTAGTAAGAACTTTTTATAATTCTGAAGCCTATTAATATGGCTAGTGTCTTAGTATAATTTGGTGGGATTACAAGAATGATAGCTGAAAACTCAAATGAGCTGTCATTCCCAATCTACGATTTCTTATTCCAGCAAAATAAACTTGTTTCTGTGAATTCAGGTGCAGAAACTTACCTAAGAGTATTTTCTCTAAGCAAAAAGGCCTAACTTCAAATGTTAATGGTATCTTCACCAGCCCACTGGGTCTTAGAGAACTAGAAAGGCAGGGCAGGATAATAAGTTCTAACACGCTATCAATACAGGGGACAGGCAGGAACCTGATGAGAAGCCTGATATAGTGGTTTGTATGAGAGAATAATTTCAGGAAGAAAGGCTGAAGAAACACCCTTGACTTAAAAGTCTGGAAAGTTTGCCTCAAAGAATGCACAGCTTTGATTAATATTATCTTAAATTAAGATAATGTAAAAATGATTCTGCACCAATTGTTTTCCAATAAATTCTGTTTAGTCCTAATGGAAAACCATGTAATCATTCACCTTGTCATTGGACAACCATTTGTCTGAAATGGTATAGGGGTTCCTGCCTGAAATGGCACAGGGCAGAGGTCTCCAAACTTGGCAACTTTAAGACTTGTGGCCTTCAACTCCCAGAATAGCTGGCTGAGGAATTCTGGGAGTTGAAGGCCACAAGTCTTAAAGTTGTCAAGTTTGGAGACCTCTGGTATAGGGGGTTGGACTAGAAGACCTTCAAGGTCCCCCCCAACTCTGTTGTTCTCTTCTGTTCATAACCTTCTTTGGTATATTTGACTTGGTAAATGAGAAACAATCAGGACAGACATTTCTGGAGATAATACTCTCCATTTTACACTGTGAAGAAAAAGTGTTACATCATTTATTGAGTAGGTGTACTGCAGCCAGCCTGTCATAATATACTGCGAGGATATACTATATACTTTTCATAAATATGACACCATATCCTTCATTATCCTTTTACATTTTGGGATATTATAATTGTTCCTTATCTTCAATTCACAACCTTGTTTTATTTTTTCCACCATACAAAAATTGGATTCTGGTTTGGAATATAATCCTATGCAAGTTTACTTAGAGATAAAACCCGCTGTGTTCCATGGGACTTGCTCCCATTTGTATCTGTATCAAATTAAGCCTTAGATTCAGACATGAGGTTGTATACACTTTTGCATTTAAAATGCAGGGTAAATTTTTTATATAATGGGAGTGGTTGTAACGACATCTAAGCAGGGCAGTCTGAGGCAAACCCTATTTTCTGCTTTGGAAAATCTCTTCTGAAGGTGGAATGTGCTTTTTTTTGGGGGTGGGGGGGAATGCCACCAGTTCAAAATCATCTATGCATCTTGATGTTAGCCACTTCAAAAGGCTAAATAAGAAATTCTATTCTGTTACATGCTATGATTTTATAAGCAGTTCAGACAGCCATTCTAGTATGATCTGAAAGTCACATTCACTGATACATCATTTCAAATCTGTGCCCTTATCTTCTACTTGGCAATACTGTGTGTATGAGAAGAATGATTCTGTATTTTAATGAAAAATAAAGATGCAAGAGGGCATTTATACTTGTTACATTCAAAAAGAAAACCAGGATTCCTATAGAGTTATTATGTTTTCACTTATGGCAAGTGAAATTGTTGTCCATATGGCTAATACTGTTTCAGGCTGAGATGTTTTGTATTTCCTAGCTCTACTAAGTGAAAATTTCCAAGACTGAAACAGAATTTATATACATTTTATTTAAATATGTATATTGGGTGTTTTTAATGGGTTATTTGAGAGGTGTCGGCTATATCCAAACTTATATCATTTGTGTCAATTTATGTGAATGGTATAATTTGCAGTAAAAACTTCAGATTATTAGATAGAGCCCACATGAAAAATGTGTCTGTTACTTTAAAAATGAGTTAAAGAAAGGATTTACTATGTAATACAGGCTATTGGGTACTTTTTCCTCCAGAGTATCTTGGATCAAACTAGTGGGCAAAATTGAACTTTTTAAAAAGTTCTGAATGCTAAATTCTAGGATATTGTAACTTGTTTTACCAACAAGTTTATTTAAAAGTTCTGATTTTTAGAAGCCTGAAACATGTCTTGGTTACTTTTATTTTTTTCTCTTTAGTCTCCTTGTACAGAAGAGTTGTGGGATTCAGTTATATCGATATACCAATTCAGTTGGGGCATATACCAAAAAAGTGGAAATAGGGCTGTATATTTATGTGAAATAAAAGAAGCAAAAACGACAAGGAAGTAAAAGCTTCAGAAAGCAGAAACATTTGGTGTATGTTAATCAGGTCAATACTTTTTAGGTGTGTATTAAATAGTTAACTGGAAGCAATAGTTAAATCACTTTTCATTCAGATATATCCATTCTTTGTCTATCTCATTCTGTACAGGTAGTTTTTAACCTTGAGTATTTACTTAAAGACCAAGCAAAGTTATACTGGCATTTAAAAAAGTGACTTACACCTGGTCCTCACACTTACCTTTGCAGTGTTCATGCAGTCATGTGATCAAAATTTGGGCACTTGGCAACCAGCACGTATGTAGGACAGCTATAGCATCCTGGAATCATGTGATTGCCTTTTGCAAGTTCTCAGGGGTTCCAGCAAGCAAAGTCAAAAGGAAAGACATATTTGCTTAATAACCACAGCAAAAAAAGCTGTAAAATCAGATGCAACTCACTTAATGACTACACTGCTTAGCAATGAAAGTTGTTCCCAATTGTGGTCATAATTGAGGACTTACCTACCTACTTACTACCTGTCCTACATCAGTTGGTAAATATATCTACTGGTATCCAAATTACAAAAAAAGTAATAACTTGGAAGAGTTTATTTCCTTGTGTACACTAGCTGACATTTCTTTATAAATAAAAGGAATACTAAAAAAAGATTTGTCAGCATTATTGGTAGTTTTTTCTTTGCAGCTGTTTTACTAAGTAGAATCTTGATTGTTTTATTTAGCTGGTCAAATCAGAAAACATATAAAGAATGCTTGACATGTGCTAAAATGTTTTTCAAGGGATTCTAAAGATTCCTTAAATGATATGCACACCTTTTAAAAAATAGCTAAGACACACAGTATATTGAAGTAGTTCTAGATAATATCAATTGAAAGTACCTCACTTTATTTTCTAAATGCTTCCTTGTGCTTCAGATATCATCTTTGGTATTCTTCCCCATCCTACAGTAACATGTACAATACAGGGTTTTATTTTGAAATGTTGTTCTAGGAATTTAACACTGAAACAGTAAATCTTGTCTGTGAAAGAAGCAGGAGTTTGTATCTCAGGGCCAGTTCACTTTAGCACTGGACAAAGTAACTAAAAAATACACTGATCAATTTTTCATTGCTGAGCTGATGGTTCTGCCTTTAGAAGGTTTCAAAAATAATTATCCTGGGCTATGCCAAAGGTTACATTTATTAACAGCTGAAGAAATAGTCTGGCAGGATTTCCTAGTGGTTATTGCTATGAGTCTGGCATGCACTGATCAGGTCACTCAATCTGTACTTTATTTAGGGCATCTGTAAATGTTGAAACAATAAGGCAAATAAAGACCAACAGGATAAGACCCTATGACTACAAATAACTTGAACAAGCTCTAACCACTATATTTATATTTTATTTCTAGCAGCAAAAGAAACTTAAGACACCAAATACAAAAATCCCTAAAAATATAGTCATAGAATAATAAAATTATTAAACCCCATGAAGGAGCTTTATTAGGCTACTTCCTAATAGTACTTAAATACACATAGCAAACAAGTCAGAAAGATGAAAGCCAATTTACTGAATCCAACACTACCAATTTCAGCTAATTTATTAAGGCACAGTATGCAAAGTTGCAATTGGTCATAATGAGGGGAATATATGCAGGCATTTTTTCCTCCATAGTACCTTGCTGGCTGTTTTAAATTGCTTATTAAGCTCCATTTGGAGTACATTTCAAGTGGATGCAAGTTAGCATCTTGTATGTATAAAATGTTTACCTATTACAATAAATATGTAATTCAAATAAATAGCAAGATAGTTATTTTTACAGACAAAACTATTCTGGCAGTGCTGACAGTGCTTTTACTGAAATCAGCTGGTGCACAATTCTGCACTTACTGAGTATCATATTACTTGCATTAACTTGCTTTTTAAAATCACAATTGCTAAAAATTACTTTCCATCTATTCTTTTCCTCAACCACACCATATACTGTAGATCTTGGATTTGTAAAGATTATTCTTACTCAACTGAAGTATATAAACCCTGCTTGTGATGTTCAAACCTACTCATAGCAAAGGATATAATTCTAATATGACATCCTAGCAAAAAAAAAAAAAAGCATTTACTGTTTTGCTACTAAAAGAAACAAGCTAATGAAATTGCAATGTAATCTTACTAGCATTTAAGTTTGCAGCTATTATGACAAAAAGTAAATACAAAACAGGACCTTAAATCTAATGCACTCATTTTATATTCTATCATGTTAGCCAGTATCTAAAGCAAAAATTAGGGTTGTACCTCTGTGTTACTCAGATATTTATCAGAAGAAAAAAAATCAGGAATTTTTTCAGTTTTTAATAAATTATGGAATTCTTTTGCAATCTTTAAAGGGGGAAATCACATGGTGCTGATTCTACATAGTACTATGATATTGCACTAATCCAAAAATGCAATTCCAATACTAAATAAATGTATCCTGAACAAATGTATATTTTGACCACCTATGAATTTCAGTGCAAGCCCACTTTTAAGGTGTCTTCTATCACTGTTTCAATTCCTCTTAACTTACCTGAACTATGACAATTATATATTGACTCTGTAGCCAACTGGTATTTTTTTGAGGATTTGAAAGCTACAAAACATCCCAATAAATCTCTAATATGCAGATTGACCAGTGCTGGTCTATAAAACAATACCAAAATGCTGATTGCATCTCTCTATCTGTAATGGTGCAGGGACAGTGCTGACAACATTGTTGCATTTTCATCATTGTAAACATAATTCTTTTGTTGGTGGCCATCTATATTAACTTGTTTAAATATATAAATAAATTTTATGACATTTTATTTCAAATAAGTTTGTTACTTTTCTATTTTCTGGTATCACCTATATTAATAGAAGTTTCCAAAACACAATCAACACGCTTAACTCCAGTGCTCACGTGCTTTGAGAATTACACCTTAGCATTTCACATGGGTACAGCAGCATATGTGCTGGATGCTCCTGCCCATGTTGGGTTGCATGCTCAACACCTACAAAGCAGATGAATTACAAGTTGTTGTTGTTTTCAGCATTCACAGAGGAGCAAATTTCATGATGAATTACAAGTTCCTTTTGAAGTGGTTTCCAAGATATAACAAAATTTTGTAAAGAAGCAATAGCTCAAGACCTATTCTGGATACAAGAATGAGTTACAGACTCCGATCCTAAGCTCCTTTAGTGAATTCAGTTTGTGTTTGCTCTTTTCCAACAATTCTAGCTTTATGCATTTAAAAAACTAATTTTCACAAATAAAGAAGGTACTTATTTATCCATAAAATATTATAACACAAAAGTTTGCAGCCATGTTGTTAAATTATTACCCAAAAGCTCAAGATATAGTCATATTATATCCAGGACATATTGTACCTTTATAAGAGCATTTTTCTCATAAATGGTATAACCAGCACATTTCTCCTCCTCTTTAGTAATGCTATATCAATTTATATCAAATCATTTTAACAAGGTTTTAGGGACATAGCAAACAGATTTTAAACACTTTATTTTAATAAAAGTTACATACAAAACTGAGATCAACACAGTAATAAAAATTACTTTGCCTTTTTGTTGACGGGAAGAATCTATAGGTGGATTATAATCTACCAGTTATGGATTTAAATGCAGATAAACTGGCAGACTTTCACTAATGAGTGTATCAACAAGTATTGATGTTGCCTGATTTTAATTCAGAAAACATGACAAAAGGGAACTACAATGTAACAGACATAAGCAATGGAGGTCAGATTAATGAGCAAGAATTAGTTCTGAATTATTTAATAAGAGTAATAACTAAATTCACTCTTGTTCATTGACACCATATTTTACAAAAATATTTATCTACACTGTATACAGGGCTATACATTAACTTTTTCTCTCAAACACATTTGCAAGATTAAAAGATGTCATTACTACCCTAAGCATTACACACAGCAAAGGGAAGCAATTTCATCCAGAAGAGACAAGAATGCCAGAACATTTACACATGGTTTTCCAAATAAAATCAAGAATGTTCAGCTAAAGTAATGCAGTTGGATTGTGGCATTATTTGGAGAGAACACCAACTATACTTAAGTATAGCTGAATCAACTGTAAAACTGACTAAGCACTAAATGACTCTTTGCAGTATATTAAATACAATAAGCCATTAAGTTTTCAATGGAAATAACTACTTCCAAATGTGTATTTCGTATCTCCCAGTTTTAAAGTGCTAGTCCTTGAAAATTACTGAGAAAAACTTATGCAGCTCATAACTAAATCCTTATTAATTTTAATTTCTATAAATACAGTTTGCCAGTGCTAAGCATGTTTTCTTTTTTCTGAAGAGATATCCTTTTTTCCATACTTATAAAATTTGGTATTTAGAAACGCAATACAAATCAGCCAGTTCCTAATATTTTTTCACTCCAGAGAGAAAAGAAAACTCACTCTCACTCATGAGGGTTTTTTTAACTATAACAAAATGTTTGGCAGGTTTCTAAGCTATTCCATACTCAATATTGTCTCATATGTAGTTAGGGTGGGGGAATCTCCAAATTCTTGTACCAGGTTTGGAGTGACTTGGGAAGTTATATTTCGATGCTATCTAAACCATTGGATATAGAATCACACAGCACTAATGAAAGGATGTGTGATTTGAGACCAAACCCTCATCTATAGAAAACAGTCATTATTAAGCATAAATTCTGTTTAGCTATCTTTTCCGAGATTGTAGGTCTAGGGTTCTGCTCTTTCAGATGAAAAACCCTTCCTATCAGCACATTCCAGTATATATTTAATCAGAGTAAAATCCCAATAAATATTTCAACTGAATTATTTCTGAACAAATAAAAAACAATCGTGCTCTTGTAGGAAGGTAACAGGACTGATAGATATCAAACAGCAAAAATATGGGATAATTATTTTATTACATCCTTGTTTGCTTGGTAGTATTCTCAGTATGTGCCTGAGTAAAGACACTGTATCAGATCAAGGGCTTCAAAATATTGCAAAGGGCATTTCTTCAACACTCTAACTTTTGCATATCTATACAAAATTTTAGAATAACGGGGTCATTTGAATATTTGTAATAATTAAGGCTTGTACCAGCAAAAGCCAAGTGATGGCAACACCATTTTCATTACGCACCAATTGTTTACTGTTAGAAAAATATAACAATAAAAAGATAAATGTAAAGCCCTGCAAATATGACAATTTCCCCCTTAATTACTGGGGCATCAAATGCCTGACATTATACTTTGATGTATCTTGATACTGTGTCATAGGTTTGTCTGCAATTCCACAGGTCCCAACGCCAACCTTCCCTGTAACGCTCTCAGGAGAAGCAAAGATGCTCCGCTTTACCTATGGAACAAATTAAAAATAAAATTTTAGTTACTTTAAAAATGCAACAAATAAATTACTGTAAAATGCAGTTTATCAATGATTAAGCATTCCTGAATCATATAAATTTTATCTATTTGGCTTATTTCTATACAAAGATTGATTAATTATATTTCACTTAAGAAAACTTAACAATCTGAGATACACAAAACATCATTATAATTTATGACATCATAAAAGCCTTGTTATGCAAAACATTTCAATTTCAAAATGTTCTGTGAACAAGTTGCTTTATTTTGGAAATATTCTATACTCAAAATAACAGGGTTCAAGTTCAAACTATAGAGCTATTCTGAACACCAAATAACTCTGGGGTGATCACTACATTTATTTTAGTTTCAGAACTAATGGAATTCAAAATACTTTGCCTACCTTTTTGCCCTAAAGCTTTATAGCCCTGCATCTTTAACATTTCTATTAATTTATCTTGTAAAATTGCAAATTACTCCAAACTGTTAAAAGTATGAAAAATACTACTATGAAATCCCTCATGTGTCTTCTGGAAAGATTTCCAGGAAATGGTTTGTCTTTCCTTTCTTATAAGGCTGAGAGAGAACAGCTGGCTCAAAGCCACCTAGTTGGTTCTTTATGCCTAAGACAGAACTAGGAGTCATGGTCCGATTTCCAGCTTGGTGACCATCAGAGCAACCTGGTTATCATAACTCTATACTTCCAATATACAAAGATGCATCATATACACACCTGGCCTTTTTTGTTTTTTGAATATGCTCTATTGTTGAACTGCTGCCATTTGACTTTCTGATCTTCTCGTTCCTGTTCTAGTTCTTTGATACGCTGGGCCTTTTTCAAAGCTTTCTTCTTTTTATATTCTCGTTGTTGAGCAATCATTTCTTTTCTAAAAAGTAAAATGTCATTGAAGATTACTTAGGTAGTTCATTAACCTAGTTACCTAACCTAATATATTATAAATTCACTTTTATTCTCAGAACATGTAGACAAAAGCAAGGATACACTGATTAAGAGAGTCTCACCTTGGACTAGGTGAATGTAAAGACAAACTCTCAGTACAATGGGCTTCAGCTGTCCACGCCTATTTCATTCTCCAGCTGCAGAGTGCTGCCATTCCTTCTGTAAAGCAATCTGTGCATTGCAAGTTTCAATAAAGCACAGCAATCCTACTTTCATACACTACTAACAAAGCTCTTTTAGAAGTCAGCTGAAACTAGCCTGCTTCTTGCAAATAGAATAACTCTAGAACTAACTCAAAATTTGTTCTAAAGTTAAGTAAATTTTTTCACAAGCCTAAAGCACTTTTGTATAGAAAATACTTAATCCTGATTGAGCATCACAGGATTTATTTTATTCATCAAATTCATATCAAAAAATTCGGTCATAGAGCAAACACAAGCCTTACAGAAAACAGTATATGTTATAGTGCAATCTTTCTGAACCTGGAATAAATTCCATTATCCTCAGGCAGAATCAGATTACGGAAGGCTGATTTACAGCAGTCAACATAATCCTGTGTTTAGGTGCTGCACATTCATAGTACCAGTTCAGTACTAGGATTAATGAAGTCATCTTTAATAGATCAAGGAAGCGAACTTCATATCCTAAATATGTAGTAGGAAATCTGCACATTTACTGAGAAACTGGACTCTGAATTTCAGATATTTCTATTACTATAAAAAGTACTGGTATAAACAATAAGATAGATATGGATTTGGTCATAAATACAATGAAAACCTGTAGAATGGCAACTAAAATTTCTCAGAGGGAATAAGACTGCCTGCTTTGTCCTAAAACCAAAGTCTACTTTTTTTTGGTCAAATCTGTGGTAATTACTAGGTATGTGAAATGAATACAATATGTAACTCAAGGCTGAATGGATATTCATAAGAGACCCTGCTTAATTCAGACCAAAGTAGAAGATGCCTGTTTTGATTTAGCAAAGATTTAATGTAAAATGTATGCCATCCATTAACAGAAAAAAATCACAAATGACTGAAACTTTACACCTCTATAGGATGGCATGAGATTTGTTCACTGTTACATATATTTATTGAAATAATAAAAACTAATTTTAAAGAAACATGTAGAAAAGTTACAGGTAAGTTCCTTAAATTCTGATTTATTTTATTTTAGAAAAGTGATTATAATAGTAGCTTACTATTTGCCAACTTCTATTTATGTTAGGGTATTTGATAAAAAAGATTTTTTTACAAAAAGGAGGTAGAAGTGATGGTGGTGACAATAAAGCTTTTGTCTTCCCAATCCACATTCATATCTTTGATAAAGCCAATGGAGTCCTATATCAGGAACTGGTGATCTATGAGTAGAGTTTTCTAAGGGGAAACCTCATGGCTCTTTGGAGAAGATTAATGCACTGCAGTGGGCAACAACTGTATAGTTTTTACAAGTTTGCTTTTCTCCCTCCCTCCCTGGTATATTACAGAAATATGGAAGCAATGCAGCCCTTTTGCAGTTTTGCAAACAAATAATACACAAACTTCCCCTGTTCATTTGAAGTTGATTCTACTTTGCCTCATGCAGGCATAAATTCAGTCCAAATTATCCTGCTTAATTATTCAAGACTCAGCAGAGTATGCTACATATATAGCCTAAGCACTTACATGGGTGTACATTGTTTTTTTCTTTTTTAAAAAATATGTGACTTCAACACGTCTTATCTATATGTAATCTCTGATGAGAAAACCCATCAACAATATTTCAATTACAGCACTTTTTTTAGACTGATACCACACATTAAACAATAGAAACAATTTCCATCACTTACTTGGACATAGGCTTGTTGCCACTGTCTTCCTTTGCTTTTCTTCCCTCTTCCACAGGCTTCAAATTGAGTAGAGGCGTGACTTCAGCATTACCATATCCTGCAAACGTGATTGCAGCTGTACCATTCTCTTCATCTATCTCTTCAATTTCAGCTTCATAACACCTGTAAAGATATCATGGCTGTAAGCATGTGAGTAAAGGTTTAAGACTCAACCCTGCAAAACTTAAATATGCAATGATTACATTTCAAGATATTTCTGCTTAACAGTGGATTGAAATTAACAATGTAATTCTCAGGGTTATTTTATGGCATTCATTTACATTTACTTTCTCAGCATGAATTAACTCATATTGATCTTAACCCTAACTGAATAAAGTAGCATTTTTTCTGAGGAGATATGTGTATGATTGCACTGTTAAACTCTAAATTAACAATGATCCCAATAACATAATCGCTTCCTAAAAATAAAGCCACAATAACCTATATTCAAAGAACATACTTAAGAACATGACAATAGTTGTGATCTATTAGAGTGGCAATAATATAGATTATAAAGATTATCCAGTTTTTTTCAGTCACATCACCTGAGACTCAGAATAATCTAATATAATCATACATGTATATACATATTTTATAAGTGTACAATTCACAGTCCAAATTGCATACTGATATCCTATTTTATTATTTTATAAATAACTCAAGGTGGCAAATATATGCCTTCCTCCTATCTTCCTCCTCACGACAACTTTGCGAGACGAATTGGACTGAGTCTGTGACTGGTCCAAAGTCACCCAGTTTTCATGCCTAAAACAGAACTATAATTCAATCTCCTAGTTTCTAGTCTGGTGCCTTAACCACTAGATTAACTGGCTGTAATACCAATTTTTCTGCTCTCGGCGCACCAAAGATTGTACAGTCTATTTCAGGAGTGTCAAACTTGCAGTCCATGGGCCGGATGCATCACACACTGGCCACGCCTACATCCAGTTTAGCAAAGGGGGGAAAATTGCAATACATCACATGATGCCACGAGGTTGACATCCCTAGTCTATCTAGTCTTAGTTAAGATTGCAGAAATTCTCCTGGCCAAAATGGACTATCTTGAAAAAATTCAGGTACTCACTTCAGCCCCAGAAAAATCTTGGCTGCTTCCAAATCGTCATTCTCCTCATTTTGAACTCAGCAAAGCACCAATTTTTCTCTCCTATTTCACTAAGCCATTTCACAAATCTAAACAGTTTAGTTCAACGTGCTAGAGTGACACTTGATACTCCACACTCTGCAACTTTTGGAAACTGCAAATGCTGTCTATGCTTCAGTGGGGCATACGGAAACTCAACAGTGAAACTGTTTAACATCACAAGCATCTAAGTAACAAAAATGGAAACCAACACATATTAGAATTGTTATTGTTGAAAGAAAAGGATGGCAAGATGGGTGGCATATTATATTTAGTAAATAAAATGAATAAACAGTAATTTCCTTCAGATGGCAGAATTCCATATGCTACTAAAAAGGCAGCTCATTAACATTAGTGCTAAGCTCAGAAATCAAAGCTTGTTTTTTGCTACTCCATCATAAGGTGAGTCTATTATTGTAAAAAGAATGCTTTCCAGTATTCCCTAATTATTTTGGAGGAAAGAAATACTGTCAGATTTGGTTTGATGTCTTCAAATATGTCTGCTCCTTACAACGTAGGTAGTCCTCAATTATGACAATTGAAGCCTACAATTTCCCTTAAGCAGGGCAACTGTTAAGTGAGTCACACCCAATTTTACAACTTTTTTGACACTGTTGTTAAGCAAATCACTGCAGTTAAGAGAATTAGACTTCTGCAGTTGACTTTGTCAGAGGCCAATTGGGAAGGTGGGGATCACATGGTTCCGGGACCTGCAACTGCTGCATGATCCCGGGTTACTACAACAGTAGCATGCCAGTTGCCAAGCACCCAAATTTTGATCACATGTCTATAGGGATGCTACATTAATTGTAAGCATGAGAACTGGTTGTAAGTCACTGTTTTCACTGTAGTTGTAATTTTGAATGGTCAAAAATGAACGGTTGTAAGTCTAGGACTACCTGCATCAGTTTTGGGAGTCACAGAAGGACTGGACATTTATAATGTTTCCAAAGCAACACAGAGAGAAGACATTTACCAAATTTCTCACCAAGTAACAGCCTTCCATATGAACCTAACAGTAAACAATGTAATCCGCCATTCCTGAGCCCAATCCTCTCACTTTAAAAAAAATATGTTTTTTATAAAGAAAGATTGGTATGGACAGCAGATTCCTTTTTTGCTTCTTCCCTTCTGATATGCATGACTCTTTTCCCAGGGCTCCATTTTTTCTCCAAATGATATTAACATTTTCCTCTCAATTAGTGATGAAAAGTGTTATCATTCTATTTTGATTATTGTATTCCAAATTTTAAGTTATTAGAGATCATACTAATATAGACTATAGACTAAGCAAAATTGGAATTTACTAACACTATATATTCTCAAATAACATATTTGTTTAAGATACATATTTATACCTGCACTCCCTTTAAGGACAGCCATTCCTCATCTTGGTATTCTCCATACTTTGGTCATTATGCTGGCTGATGACAAATTATAATTTAAAAGACACCAGGACTGACTACAGTACCTTACTATTTTTGCCAACCTGGTGTTTACCATGATGGAGATGGGGAAAATATAAACCAAAGGGAAAAATCTTACCATGAAATTGTATTATTTCATTTAACTGTACAGAAGTTTGTTTTCTACACTTACTGTCCATCTTCACTCCATATTGCCATACATTTGTCTCCAACTTTCCAAGTGTGATTGGGGAGGGCAGACGCAGAACTATCAGAATTTGCAAGCGTTTCTGAAGGTTGTGTTGAAAGGAGGTCTTTAGTCAATTCTATAACTTCCTGGTGGCAGAAAAAAAGCAAGAATTTAAAAATTAAGTATCTCCCCCCCCCCATCCTCACAACTTTTTAAAAGTATTTACCAACTGCAGTATATACAGTAAAAGACTGAAAAGCACACAAAAACTCTATTTACAGTACAATATTTCAAAGTCAATCCCTAAAAGATGCCCAAAAGTCAACAAGATAGCAAAAACAGGCCTTGTTCTGCAGCCCTTAAGTAGCTGCATCTCTTTACTGGGGAAATATGGCCGACCTGCCAACTGTTGCATGACTCCTGTAACAACTGCCTTCTCCTAATCCTAGGCAAAGACTTGCCTGTTTTAATGAAATGCACTCATGTCTCAGCAGACTTTTTTAAAAGTAACTTTAGAATTGAATCTCAAATATTACATAGCCTAGCCTTTTTTGAATATCTATTTTCTTAGGAAATATCACGGTGTATTCATGTCATTATATTCCAACTAATATAATAAGAATAAGGAATACTGTGGCAGAAAAATATTTTGGGCTGATTTTTTTACATGTTTTAAATTAAAAATAATTACTGGTGCAAAATATCTATGTATTCTAGGAAGCAGCAAAATACAAGTTTAATATATGCAAAACATACTACAATAAAATAGGTAAAAGAACTGGGATTTCCAGATTCTGTGCTAAAGCAGGAATAACCAAACTTTTAAATGTAAGATTTTAAAAAACATTTGTAAATTTTCAAATGAACACAATCTCTGCAAGATGAATTATACTATCTATCTATCTATCTATCTATCTATCTATCTATCTAATTCACATTTAAAAAGTTTTAAAACATAGTTTTAAATAGAACATCTGTAAAAAAAACTTATTGTACCTGCATTTTAACAGATTATCAATATCTACTGAAGGTACGTAACATAACCTTTCCACTACTTATGAGGTCCAGCTATGTTGAGGCTACTTATCTACACCAACGTTTCTTAAAGTGTGGGTTGCAACCCAGAGGCTGTGAATGACTCACTGCATTTGGTGTTTTTTAAAAAGGATTTAACAGGTCTGAAGATCGAAGGGTTCTATGCAAAACTCTGACCTATCACAGGAGTGGGGGAGATATTTACAAGAATCAATCTAAAAGGGAAATGTCAAGATTGGACTTATTTCACTCTCACTGGGTTGGGAGAGAATATAAAAAGTAACTTGTAACTTGCCAGCTTTCTGAAAATTGAAACATTAATAACACCACTGTAACAGAACTGATTTAAGGCAATAAAAACCTATTTCTTAATTCCTTTCCCCAATTTTTGAGTTAGACTGACTGCTTTCAAAAATGAAACCCAGGTTTTACCAATTATGAAACAAACAAGTCATCCCCCTCATCAAAAATAAGGCTTTAAATTTTACTGGATCCTTTTGCTTATTTCCAATGCAATAGTTTCAATTGAAGTTGTTTTATTTGATGTATGGGTTAAACTGTAATGATTAAAAGTTGCATATTTTGCCAAGCTTAATAAATAATTAAATAATAATTAGTTTTATTTCAGTAGGGATTATGGAGATTCCTGTTATTATTTTAGAGAGTGAAGAATGTCACCAGATTTGTGTACCTTTTTCTTAAAAGATAACAATTTGGGGAAGGCTATAGTACACGAAAAAAATGAAATGTCAAATAGCCATTTCTTGAAATATTGACCAAATCTGACCCAATGAAAGAAAAAAAGGAATAGGTTGTGATGCAAAATGAACACAGAGAAATTTTTTGAAATAATGTTGTATTCACTATTACGCATCTTTAATTTTTTTTACTCTATTATGACTCAAATTCTGCTGTGTTTTTATGCACACTGAAGAGCTACAATTCAAATGTTAATCACCTTTGAATCACAAGCTACAGAGCATTTAAAAAACAATTTGTAAAGAACTCACAAAACCTATGTGGTTTCAGAACCTTACCATTTGAATATATTTCCCTCAGTGAACACATAACACATTAAACCAGGGGTCCCCAAACTTGGCAATTTTAAGAATTGTGGACTTCAACTCCCAGAATAGCTTATTGGAGAATTCTGGGAGTTGAAGTCCACAAGTCTTAAAGTTGCCAAGTTTGGAGACCTCTCCATTAAACAGTCCCTGCTCAACCAATTGCTGTAGGGTAGTATAACTGGGGATATTTTAACACTCAAGATATTGTGAAAAATGACTCAAATACTAGCTTTAAATGTGTTTTAAATATGCTATTACAGAAGAAAATTACTTTAAAATGATACTCTGTATAATAATTAAACCAGACTTCAAAATATTTTTAACCATACTTCTACAATTGTAGACTACAATCCCTTTAAGCAGTTGATAGCCCTAGTTCTTCTGAAGCTAATTTAATTCATAAGAAAAAACTTATTAATATTTTACAAAATAATTATTTTACAACTTTATACTTAATTAAGTCTTATTTTGGAGCACATTCTGATTAAGATACTACTATAACAAACATAAAAACATGAGCAGTTCCCTGTTAGTTCGGACCCCTGGACCATCCAGTCCAGCAGTCTGTTCTCATAGTGGCTAACCAACTTCACAAAGAGGTCTAGCAGATGGTCTTCAGAAGCATTCAAACGCAATTCTGCAGAGCTCTTCTCTATATGGGAAACATTCAATTAGCAAATTTATTTCTTCTCAGTTCTCACCTGCAAATCTTTCTTGAGTTTTAATAAATCTTCATTATCTCCATTTCCTGTCAAAGCAGCTTCAACTTGCTGTAACTGAGCTTTATAACTAGCTAATTGTTTTGCCAGGTCTTCTGACATCTACAAAAATAAAAAGATGCTATAATATGAACCAAATTAATTATATGTACAACTTATTGGCCAGATTATTCATTTATTAAGAATTTTATTTCAAGCCTCTTGGTTTTTCTGCATTTCAGATCATAAAATAAAATTGAGATTATCAGGCTGAATACTATAAATCTTCATAGTTAGCAAGATGCAAGCATGACCCAAGTAATCATGAAAGAATAATGTAAATTTATATATTATTGTATGGTTATTTATACATCAACCTCAGCATGTTGATATCTGAACTACAACTGGACATGATTAAAACATTTTTTTTTCTTTTTGGTCTTAAATTTACGTTTATTTTATTCTAATCTCAATCTCCACTTTCAAAATTAATATTTGAAAAGACTGTTAATACTTTCCTAGTCATAATAAATAAACCTAAGATTTTGGGCATATTCTTTGTATTCCTTCATCAGGCTATATTAAAGGTAAGCCAAACAACTGTAAACATTTTAAGCAACAATATAAAATATCCATAGAGTTAAGGGGAAACAGAAAAACTGGACAACAAATTAAAGCAAGAAAATATAATTGTCTTGAGTAGCTTCTTAAAGTTCAAGATGACCTATACCTAGTGGATCTTATACATTCAAAAATGTTTTATAAGACCAACAGAGAAAGTACAAAAAAGATTATGACCACAAAAGCTTATATGCAGGAGAAATGAAAACTGCCACACTGAAATTTTGAAAAACTATCCAGCAGTCATATTATCTCAAGAGTTGAAGTTTACAAAGGCAGTCCCATACAAATTGCATTAATAAAAACATATGGTCTCTTTACAATGTTTTGGTGTATGATTGGTTAATATTACGTCAAATTTTAAAAAGTTGCAGAATTGTCATTTTAATGTATGACTTGCCCATCTTTCATTTAAACCAAATCTATAAATATAGGCTAATATTAAAAATCCCAATAGAAATAAAATATTTTATTAGCACTATACAGATGCTCAAAAGTTTGACACAAAACTTATCTTCTTTAAAAAATTAAATAACATTTAAGAGAAAAATATAGGTAAAGCAGATATTTGTTTCAGAAGGTATTAGAAAAATCCATTTGTATATTAATTAGACTCACGTTTCATATAAGGACATAAATCTGAGATACAGATTTAGTATGCTACGAGAGAGTAATTCTTTTAATTCTGGTAATAACCACAAAAACAAAACCTAGAATTACCTTTCTACTACCAATTTGTAGGTCTGTAAAAAGCCTTTCGCATACATAACATTTTCTGCCTAGAAATGAAAACAGTGCTGCTTGATAGATTACTATTTTTAATATTTACAGAAACTCGCAAAGAAGAACAATGATGGACAATATTGAGAATGGAATTTTGCAATGAATGTACTTCAAATAGCACAAGTTACAACATATTCTTCTTCAAATGTTTTAGACTACACTTATCATAATTTCCCAGAAATATGGCCAAAGGCTTTGTGCTATTATTAAAGATTTATATAGAAATAAAAATAAACATGAAATAAAGGTAAGAAAAAGAAAAAATAAAAATGTGTGAGAAGTAGGTTAAATAAAGGAAAAAGATATATAAATAAGTAACTTACTTCTTCTTTGGTGCAGTCGCTAAGAAACATTACTTTTTCTACCTCTATAAGGTTGCATTGTACTTCCTATCTCTCACAAGTCTTTCCTAATTGGCTATCCATAAAGTTCTGGTTTAATCTGAATGTTAATCTTTAATATTCCTTGCATCATTATATGTATTTGTATCCAAATTTTGGCTGTTTCACAACTCCATTGTACATAGTAAAATGACACTTCATGTTTTTCATATTTCCCACATTAGTTGAAAGTACCTTTATATATCCATATAATTTTGGGGGGGTCATAATGATAAATATTATAGGAGTTCTAATACAAAATTTCTGGAGAAATAAAGCTACCTATCTCAAGTTTAGACAGACACTGGATTGTCTGCTTTTCATTATTAAAAATAGTGTAGTAAATTGTCAAAGATACAGTAAGAAATCCTAAACACACACCCCTCTTCCATTGTTAAATTTCTAGCAAGTACTTCAGAAAGAAGAAACACTTGCATTCCCCAAGAACCTTACTTCCCAAGCATAGATTTGGGGAACCTATGCCTTCCTGATGTTGCTGACAAGATAAAAAAGCTTGCATTCTGTCTCCAGGAATGTTTCATTTTCAAGAAAATCTTCTACTAGCATGTAATAGATGGGCCTGAGACACCTCTTTTGAAAAGCACTGCCCACTTTGAAAACATAAAACCAGTAGCAATTCAAATACACCAGTCTTTTATAAGATAACATAAAAACGTAGCAGTTGTTTCTTTCATCCCGGACATCCAACAGGTATGTAGTAGTAATAGTCTTTATATTAATGATAAGGATAAAATATAGAAATATTAGAAATAGAAAATCGGTAAAAACCAAGCTGAAGTATTATATACTGATAAGAGGCAAGCAGTTAATTGTCAGCATCTAAAGCGTTATTGCATACAGTTAATATTAATAGTTAACAATTAATAGCTAATTATTAATATTAATAATAGATAATTAATAATAGCTAATATTAATCATTTAAAAGGGGATTTGCCTGTGAAAAAAATAACTGTACAATTCTGATTTACACGAATTTGGCTTTAAGCAAACTTGCCTGTTATTTTCTGAAACACGTACACCTGCAGTTTATTTAGGCCAGGATTACAGCTTTTTTCCGGGGAGAGGGCAAAACATAACGCACCAATTTTAAATGTTATACGCCCGAATCTTACCTCGTAGAAATCAAACGTGACCCCCTAGTTGAGTGCATTAAAGGCCCTTCATTATTTCTAGTACAGCCAGTTACAAATTTATGTAACAAAGCAGAAAAACGTTTAGAAAAGCAAGAGCTGTGACAACAAAGACTTCACCGAGAACACAGTGGGAGACAGAAGAAAACAAGGGAGAGAGAACCAAAGGCATCTTTCGGAGAATAAAAGACGCCTTGGAGGAGTTGCTAATACGGGGGAAGGCATTAAGGATAGAGAAAAGACGCCTATTTTCCCATAAACCTAAAAACCAAGAACAGGATCCGAAGCTTCTGCCACTGGATATTATTACTCCTGAGCTAAAATCGAGGGCTTGCCGTCCCGGAAGGGAGCCCAACGAGTGGGCCTGGCAGAAGAGAGAATGCGCCAAGCGCCGAAGAACACAGGCGGAAAAGGAGAAGGAAAGGCCTGAAAACTGGGGAAGAACAAAGACGGCTCCCGCTCTCAGAAAGAGCGAGTCTCTCCCTCCCTCGCCGCGTTCCCTTTGCGCCAAAATCGGGGAAGCGGACGGAGAAAAGGGCAGCGCAGGGCAGGGCAGGCCTCTCACCTTGGCTTCGCACGCAGAAGGGCTTCTCTCCTCACTCCCGGCAGGCCTCACGGAAACTGCGCGCGCTTTGCCTTCCTGCGGCTCCTAGCGACCACGCACCACAAACCGGAGGACGGAAGCCAACGCTCGCGAGAGCAAGCAAGGCCAAGAAACCGGCCTTCAAACGGAGGTCGGGTCACGTGACTCGGCGGAAGCGTAAAGGGGAACGGGTTCCCCCTCCGTCACAATGTATTTCGGGTATTCAAGTCGCCATTTGTCCAGCCCTTCCTGGGGGAGGAGTGGCGAATGGCCAAAACTAGCGCGATGTGCAAAATAAAAGCACCCGCTATCTATCCTTTGCGGTATTTTTAGATATATTCTTCCGTTGACATCCAGAAATAGAAAAGTAATGGGAGGGAGGGAGACAGGATCAATACATTATTTATGTCTGTTAGTATATCACGTGTCTGTCCAGTCGCGGGAATCGGGCGGGATATAAATTCAGTAAATTGTTATCCCCGACTTGATGTGGTGCTGAAAGTTTTGTGGGTTGGATTAAACTCTGCTGCTTTGAAATTTTAATATTGTCAAAGATCAGTCTACCGTTGAAAAAAGAAAAGAAAAGTGCATAAGTACACCATCGTGCCTCCCCTCCCTGTCCTATTCTCCCCATTTAATCATACCTATTTTCTGTATTCTTACTCATGTTTATACTTATACCTATTATTTTGAAAGTGGTTGACAAATCAAATAAAATAAAAGGCATTTTCACGTTATTCCTCTATATTGCACTGGTTTGAAACGCAGGAGAATGAATTAACGAATGAAATAAGAAAAATAGTTTGTAGGGGATTGGATGAGCTTCGAGGGTGGATTGCTGCAGGACACCAGCTTCTTCCAGAGCCACCATCCATCTTTCACATGATGCCCCGCTGGCATCCTCCACTAACCCAGCTGTGTGACAGAGCAGGCTCTCGCAATCTGTACTGCTTTTATTGTAATAAGTCAAAAAGCTGAAAGGGAAATATCTATTATAGTATCACTTCTTGGTCTTATGGCACTGAGGCAGGGGAATTTAAGGAAATCAACTTTCTTCTCTTGGGAGATAGACTAATCTCCTAACAGATAAACAAAACCAAACTGAATTTTAAATAAAGGAAATTAAAAGTGTAAAAATAAATGTATAACTTGAACTATTAAAGTGAAAATATTCAGTGCTGATTAGGAGGAATTGTAGAGCTGGTTAGATTGTGAATAGTAGTTTGATTAAAGAAGAAAACTGCAACAAGACAAATTACTCAGAGTAGCTCATAGGAGGTTTTGTCTAATATAGATAGACCTTCTCTATTTCCGTCTGTGAAGAGATGGGTATTTTTCATTATCACTATCATCACCAAAAGTTAACAAGAACATATGCCAACATTCACTTTAAAAATTCAGTTCCCTAATTCACACAGCATCTCTACCTCAGGATGTCTAGGGGCATGCATAAGCGCACCAACGTGCCTACCATCCCTGTCCTGTTGTTTCTTTTTATTTTTCTTATATTTCATGTATTCATAACTATGTTTATACTTATACCTGTTATCTTATAATTGATTGACAAAAATAAATAAATATATATATATATACACGTCAGTTTTGAAATCTGCCTGACAGGATGTCTATTGGGAATGTCTTAAGTTCTGCCAGTTGGCAAGGAAATTACATACCCACAACAGATAACACTGAGTGTCTCTGAAGCTAACAGGTCATAAAAGAATTGAAAGGAGAAAGCCTGATCTTACAGATTAAATTTCATGAACAGAATATGCAGAGAAATATATATATATATATTTAAATACAAGAACACGGATAAAGGGTACTCTTTACATATATATGAGGAAGATCAAGCCAAGCTTGTTAATAAAGAATGCGTACATTACTCTTAGCCAAAGCTTTAATAACTTTTAATAACACAGTTTAACAACTGCGAAGCTTTTAGACAATTTAACAATTGAAAAGTAGCATTCAAAGGTATAGTCTAAAAGCTATGGTTGAAAAAATAATGGATAGAATTTGAATTTGAAAAATATGAAAAAGAAGTCCTATATGCTGTAAAAATGTTGAAAAATTGTAAAGCTATAGGAAAATGTTAAAATATGGATGAAGTTTACTTACAGAGTACCTATGTGACTTTTTAACTTGCGTGAAGACTGTTTCTAATACTGAATATTGACGAATGTATTATTCTCTTAAAGGGAAAATAGCATGAATAAATGCAATAACTGATATGCACTTGGGAAAATGTCTGGCACAATTCTGATGAAAGAATGGAAGAGTTAATAATGAGCAAATCTGTGGGTATACTGTTGCTTTATGATGAACAGGGATGTAAAAACCAGATCTTTGCTCTTCAACATGTTATTGAAAAAAGTATAGATGTGAAATTTATTGTATGCTTTGAGAGGAAACATATTGTAAAGTGAATAGATTCGATTATCCTCTTGTATCGAATAGGTTTGTTTATGATATTTTGTGCAAAAATGAGTTGAAAGTTAATGGTTGCATTATGAGTAGTACCTTATGGAAGTAAACATGCATGAGAATAGAATACTTAGTGAATGATTCACCATTGATGGAAGATTAAGCTAGGGATGTGTAATGTCCTGTTGGTTTTTTAACATATTTATGATAAATATACAAGGAATTAGTGTGATGAGATTTATTGGCTGAATATATACTGTTGTTTACAGATTATGCTATGTTGGTGACTGAGAACTGAACAATTTGCAACAAATGTTAAGTACACTGAATGATACAGTGAGAAGGATCTGAAAATTAATGTATCAAAGACCAAACTAATTACATGTTATGATAAATTGAATGATGTAATACTGTGTTTCCCTGAAAATGAGACCTAACCAGAAAATAAACCCTAGCCTGGGTTTTTAGTGTGCTCCTAATAAGCTGTACCCCCCAGAATAAGCCCCAATTAAGATTGTCATCAGCCATGTGGGTAAGTGGGCATGGCCAGCATTGGAGGTGGTGAGGGCACAGAGGTCAATAGTTTCCAGCTGCAGCCCATGCAGCACAAGTGAGTTGATTACCTGTCCAAGCAGCAGGCGGAGGTAGAGAGTCGGTGTTCTGGAATGGGCAGGCGGGCATGGGAGGATCATCTTTGCACGGCGGCACTGGCATCAGGTAGAAGCATGGGGGAGAAGGCAGGCAATCCAGACATGATGCTGGAGTGGACAAGCAGCCGTGGGAGGCTCATTTTTGTGTGGTGGCACCGGCAGCAGACTAACACTGTTGGCCCCCGCTGTTCGTCGCCTCTTGTGTATATACCAGGAGGTGGGGCGCCCAGCTGGGCTGATTTCCTGATACATTTCCCTGAACTAAGCCCTAATGCTTATTTTGGAGCCCCCCCCCCCCCAAAAAAAATATAAGACTAGGTCTTATTTTGGGGAAAACATGGTAGTTATACATAAATGGTGAAAAAGTATAACAAATAGATGAATTTCTGTACCATTAGAATATGTTTATTAAAGTTGCATAAATGAAGAATGGCCAGTATAGTTGACCATGGTAATATGATAGGCATGATGTACATTGACTTCAGCAAAACTTTCAACCAAGTCTTCCTTGAGATCCAAGTGAAGAAAATGAAAAAAATCTAGGCTGGGCTCCGCTATCATCAGATAGATACAAAGGTGATTGAACAAAGGTACATTAGTGGAACTGAATGAACATGGAAGGAGTGTAAGGAATATACTGGAAGCTTCTATTTTTAGCACATTCTGTTTTCATATTTAATAACATTTTAGATGAGAGGTTAGAAAATATGAATAAAAAGTTAAAAATTTGATTATTAGATCTGCAGTTTACTAGAAAGAGAGGGAGGAACAAACAACCTAGTGAATGATATCCAGATATCAGTGGATCTTAAGCTGGAAGAATGGGCAGGAACCAGAACAATGAACTTCACACAGAGCAAAGCAAAATCCTTTATTTCGATAGGAAAACTCAAAGGCATGATGGGAAGACCCAATTGAAAAACAGTAAATGTAAAAAAGGTCTGCTTGTCTTGGTCAGTCACAAAGTGCACATGAGTCCATACTGTGAGACAACTGGAAAAAAAAAGCCAACACAATTCTATTCTATCAACAAAATATTCATCAAGAGAAATGACATTCCAAGCCACACAAAACCCAACATTTAGATGCTGGGTTTAAATGTTTCATGTGGCTGTCCTAATGACCATACAATGTTTGGGTTAGGATGCTGATTCATGGATGCTCCCTTCCATTTTACCCACCATTTATCATAACCTGCATTAACCAGATCATATCTACAATATTGGATTGCATTTTGGATGCTACATTTTTAGGAATAATACTGACAAAACAACTTGTTCAAAAGAGAGCAACTAAGATGATCATGAACAGGAAGCAAAACAATGAGGAATGCTTGGTGGTGTTGGAAAAGAGAAAAATGCAGGGAAATATGATAATTGTTTTCAAGAATCTGAAGTGCTCTCATGTAGAACACAGAGCAGAATTGACAAAGTTGTTCCAAAAGATAGGTCAAGAAATAATGAATTTAAATAACTAGGAAGTAGGTTTTGGCTGGGCATCCAAAAAAACCTGTAATAGTAAAAGTTGTTAAAAAGTACAATAGACTATCTCAAGAGCTGGTGAATCCTTTTTTGAAGGAGGTCTTTGATCAAAGGCTCATCTGTCAGCAATGCAGTCACAATGGATCCCTGTACTGTATCAGGGATTGGACTGGATGAAGAAACTCAGTTTTTACGTTTTGTGATTCTGTGATTTAATAAATATTTCTTCAGAGCACTAGGTGGCACCTGTGCTGCATTTTTAATGAAAAAAAATCCCTCTTCTTACCTCAACTTCTGACAGTCTCCGTTTTTTTGTACCTGGGTTTGTGGGTAGGATTGGGTTTTGTTTTTTATTTTGGTAGATTTATGGGTGTGATTTTTAATGTATTACTTTAGTACATTAATTAAAATAAAATAACAACAATGGAAATCAGCAGATTTTTAAAGGAAGATGTAATATACTCCATATCCCTATTATCATAGTACTTTCAGATATTTGTTACTAAAGCACTGATCGTGATAAGGCAGAGAATCTACTGAATGTGTTACAATGA